TGCCACTTTCTAGGAAAGCCTCAGAAAGAGCACCTTTCCATTCCTCCTGGTAAATCCGGGCCACCTGTCATGAAGAATGCAAGGTGCACTGGATCAAAAAGAAGGTGAGGAAAGAGCAGTCAATCTCAATCTGGTTTCACAGCCCTGCTTGGTGGGTCTGCAGCAAGACATTTCTGCTGCTTTCTCACCACACTACAAGAAAATGGGATTTCACATCCATCATGCCTCTTCCATCCACAACCCTTTTTACTTGGGCATCTCCAGGTGCCCTGCCCTTTTCCAGGGTTTTCTCTCCATAAGGTCTCAATACATTAGAGCATGTAGGCACTCCATTTTAGGAGTAAGAAATGTAATTATCTATTCATCTAACAGTGTGAACATAACACAACAACATTAGAAATGCTAGGCCTAACTACCCCAATATTGTGCCTATAACCTAGGCCAAGAGCAGATGTCCAGGGAAGAGTGTAAATACAGAGCAGGCACACAGCAAATCTTCCTTAGTGGATTTGGACACAAATCATCTTCCAGTGATTTGTGCTCAGGCGCTTCCTGAGCCAGAGGTGATGTCTCTGTCCTGGAAGATGAGATGTTTTGCACGTCTTGAAGGTGAGAAACATGCACGTGCTGACTGCGGTTTGTCGTGTGCAGTGAGTCTCACAGAGCAAGGAGCCTCAGAGTGCTGCTAAATATATGCTGAGCTGTTGATGCAAAACACAGCCAGCACCTGATGTAGCAACTAGTAATGGTTGGTGAGCCCTAGCAGAACAGGACAGGTCACGGAAAGGTGAGAACAGCTACTTTGGACAGGCTTTGCTCAACTGAAAGCTACAGGACAGCTAAGAAACCTAATGCATTGAAACAGCTTGTCTCTCAGAAACGCGTTCTTGGATATCGCTCATCCTTGGCATCACAGCTACATTTGACCCTTTATAAATGCTTGAAAATTGCTGGATGTGATAAATCTCTTAAGTTCTGCTGTTCCAACCAACGTTTCTATCACTAAAATTGCTCATCACAAATATTAGCAGAAAATGAACCCTGAAACGGTATATGTTTTTTTCAGCTGTGTAATTATTATTCTTTTTATTTGAATGAATCTCTGAGATGCAGGTTAGCCTGCTCCAGTCCTGCACCAGTGTGGGACAACAACAAAGTGCTCACAGGTAACCAGCTGCCTCTTTAGATAAAGCAGTACAGTTATGAATGCTACATTCAAGAGATGTGGGGATACACCCATCACAGCCCAGCCACTACAGAAGAAGACAGATCTGAGAATCTTCTGGGCTGAGCCAAGTATCAAAATAGCAAACTCTAAAGGCCTGACAACAGGATGAAAATGTGCATTCAATTGCAGAGGGTCAATGTCACAGGGAGAAATTTCATAAATTGTCTGCTGAGTGCTGCTTTCTGATCTTCAGTTTAAGGAGGAAACCCCTCTGCAGGCCTGGAAAGCTGAGCAGAGACAAGTGAAGCTCAGAACTGGGGCTGGATGCAGTGGCCAGGGCCAGAAGACTCTTCCCTGGACAGGGCAGAGAGCCAGGAGAAGGTGAGGGAGGGGTACAAATGGGTGTCATCCTCTCCTCCTTCCTGATACGGGGCTGAGACATAGAGCATTACTGCTGGGGAGGATCCAGGCTCCTGAGCTGACAGGCCAGACCTTCAGGAGAGGCATTCAGCACGTGCTTTTTCTCTACAAGTGTAAATTCACGTCTATGGCTGCACTTTGACAGTTGAGGTTTTGCACTTGGCAGTTGACAGTCATTTAAGGGTGAAGGTCTCTTCAGCTCAGTCTCTGCCCTGTGGCTTAGGCCATACACCAAAAGCCAAGGGAAAAAAGCATGCGCCGTGCAGGCAGCTTAAAAAGTCACAGGCATCTCCTTCCTGAGGCTCACTCATGGGTGCCAAGCGCGAGAAGTAGACTTGGAGCAGAGCAGGAAGTGAGGGGGCAAAGGAAGGATGCAAGAAAAAGAAACATTGGGAACCATGTGTCTACAGAATAACTCTTCTACCACTTCCTTCCTGCCCTGCACCATTGCCGGCTGCTTGTTGGTGAGACAGGTACCTCTGGGGGAACCATGCCTTCGCACAACGAGCGGCAAACAGCAGGTGTAGGCAGCGCAGAAAGGAGAATATTCAGACAAACACAGGGTCAAGAGAAGTATGCAAAGCCCAGGGGGAGGGGAGGAGAGCACACCTTCAACCACTCTTGAAGGTTTTTTTGCTAAGGTGCAAGGGGTAGATAGCTGCTGAGTAACCGAGATGGCATGCCACTGTGCCACGTCCCCACCTCGGCTGCTGCCATCTCCCTCACGTATGATTTGTATTCACCTGCCGTGCTTCACCTTAGAAGGGGAGGTCTCCAAGACCACCCTGTGGTGTGCAGGTGTAGAGCAGCTCTCACATCGGTCAGACGTGTCTGAGTCAAGGACGAGCTCTCGTATGCCTCATCCCAGGTGAGGTCTGGGCAGAGAACCACTGATGACCCTGAAACCAAGCACTGTTTTTAGTGTGTACACTAAACCACTGTGTACAGCAGTTCTGTAGGTGGCCCAGAGAAGGCCCCACCTCATTCACCAAGGGTGGCAGATGCCCAGAGGCAGCAAAAAACTCGTCACCACCAGCCCTTATAGCAACCATCATTTTCCTAGCCTAACACCAGCTATCAGTAAACTTTCACTGCTAGGGAAGAAGGGAAGTAATTTTACATCCCCTCACGCAGAAACCTTGCGGCAGCCCTGCTGAGTGCCATGCTGTCTTCCCCCCACACAGCAGTGAGGATCCTCTTCTCCAGTCGTTCTTAAGATGGGACATTTGAAACTAAAGGAAACCTTAGATCCCCCTTGAGAGGGCCTGAACATACCCACCGGACTGCAGACGGTCCAATTCTCAGACATGGAGGGATGTGGTGCCCTGGCAAGACACTTTGGCCCAATTAGCGCAGTGAGGGCTGCCTGCTAACCCTCGTCAACATGTCAGCACACGAGCGGAGCATGGTTTGCCACAAGGGGAAGTGGAAGGTAGTCACAGAGCATGGTCACACCCTCCTATGTACTTCTTACACACACACACAGAGCACTTTCTCAGTTCCTCTGTCCGTGGAGGCCCCTTCCAAACATCCTCACCCCGGGGAACAGCTTACACTGCCGCTGGGGACAGGGATGGCACTGCTGCCTCTGCCCCATCTGCTCGTTTGCCAGGACATCTTCACTCAGAAGCTGCTATCATTGAGTGGGGTCTGACTGCATTGAGGTACTTGCTGGAAATGAACACCTCTTGGCATGGGCCGGGAGAACCTCTCTTGGTGTTTATGGCTGTGGCTAGCACCACGCTGCTGTGAGGGTCTCGCAGGCTAAGGCAACCCATGTCCATTTTCTCACACCATTCTCATCATCTGGTAACTAAACTAAGTCAGGGGACCTGATTGCCCTTCAAGCTCTAGGGATCTTGCATGGCAGGTGCTCTGTTAGGCATTCAGGGTAGAGCTGCTTACACCACCCCAGGGACTGCTCTTGCCCACATGGAGAGGAAGGAAGGTCCCCACCAGCTTGTCCACCCTTCCAGAGATGCAGGAGACAATCCCACTGCACTGGGAGCAGTCTGCTTCCCCTTGGTCTGCTTGAGATGGGTCCAAACAAGCAACAAATAAATGCTCCAAGGATGCTAAAAGCTACCTTCTCCCCTGCATGAACTCAGGGTTAAAGAAATTGCTCTTACACAGTGTGGACCAAGAAAGCTCATGCCCCTCCTCTGTCTGAAGGGACTCAATCTCTGTCAACACATCTCCTCCTTCTGGAGTTAGTTGACTGTTCCCTGGAGCTGGTGTCCACCCCATAAGAGAATGCCCAAAAGATTAAGCCAGACAAGACCTTTTTTTATCAAGGATCTTATACAGTGGACACCTTCAACTCATAAATACAGCAAAGTACAATTTTTAAGGGCACACAACACCATTATGGCGCACCCACCTCCATATTCCTCTCTTCACTTGGAGAAGATTTCTGCATGGAAATCATCATGCAATTTTGCAAGAAATGCTTCTCCTAGCACTACTTAACACTAACCAAATGCCAGGTCTGCTCTTGTGTATGGTTATCTTGGAAACGTGGAGCTTTTTGTAACCACACCTGTTCAAAGAGGTCTTCACCTCCATTTCTTAAATGTGTGTATATTCTTTTCTTTGATCTTGTTTACTTCCTCTAACTGCCCTTATTTCCTGTTGTTTTCCAGAGGCATCAAACAGATGTGGTAGGTAGTTTCACCGGCTTATCGTGGTGGGTGTTATATAGAACTACAAGTTTATGTTCTTCAGTTGCAGTTATTGATTAAGAGGAGGGAGGAGAGAAGTATGAATTAGCCAGATCTGAACCACTACATTGTAATAGAGTGTGAAGGTACACACCAGTGGCCAGATTCTGGTTCTTGTATGCTGGATAGCCTCTGACACAACTACCACCACCCACTTCAGACGGTTCCCCCATCTGACCGACCATAAATGATAGCTTCTTTTGCAAGTCTGCCTCTGAAATCTCCACGGTTTGCATTTTTTGTTACTCAGTTTGAAAAAAAATGAATTGAGGACTAATGCCCTTAATTTCATCTGGGAAGTGACTTTAGTAATTAAGTAATTAGTAATTTAGTAATTTAGTAATTAGCAGCTCTGTCTTATTTACGAGGCAGCCTGGTTTAGGGACAGTCCCCAATACCCTCTTTTAGTGAATAGACATGCTGTAGTCAAGAAATTCCTTGTGAAGAAAGGCACTGTTTCCTGGAAGTAAATCAGACCTGACTCCCAGGAGACACTACAGGAGATCAGCAGGTCTTGGAAAACTTGCCTGTCTTAGATGCTTCCCCAAGACAAGCATCCCACCTGTTCCCCTGACATGTCCTGTTGGCACCTATGGGACCATAACCTTTACTGACACATTTTTAAGTGATGCAAATGCTAACTTTCCACCTTGTCTTCTGATTCTCAGGAAACACCAGCTGGAAAAAGAATAATGGAAAATTGTACAGACACAAATAATAGCTCCATTTGTACAGGAATTCCCTACAAAGACAGCAAGACACTTCTGGTTGCTGTTTACAGCATCGTTTTTGCCATAGGCCTTCCAGCAAATTGCTTAACTTCCCTGCTTACGTTTGTACAAATCCAAAGGAATAAAGTAATTGCCATCTACATTTTCAGTTTATCATTGTGTGAGCTGATGTATTTAAGTACCTTGCCTCTCTGGATTATCTATGTGCAAGGTGAGCACCAGTGGCATATGGGTGTAAACGCTTGCAAAATAACAGGATTCATCTTTTTCTGCAACATATACATCAGCATTCTGCTTTTGTGCTGCATTTCTGTGGATCGTTATGTGGCACTGGTGTATGCTCTGGAGTCAAGGGGGAGAAGAGGACAGAAAAAGGCAATCATAATAGTGTGTTTTCTCTTTGCTGTGGTTGCAATAATCCACATGCCCGTATTTCACATGGGAGTTAATTCAGGACATACGAAGACCTGCTTTGAGACTTTGCCCCTTGACATAACATTGGCTTCTTTCAGCTTTGCCAGATTCCTGTTTGGATTTGCCATACCTTTCACAATCCTCATTTTCACAAACTACAAAATTTTCCAAAGTACAAAAACAAGCAGCAGCTTGACTTGTCACCAAAAAGCCAAAGTGAAGCATCTGGCTATCGCCATTATTGTCATTTTCCTGATCTGCTTTGCTCCCTACCATGTGGTACTCATAATAAGATCCATATACTTCATGTTTCATCAGAATTGCTCATGTCCATTTGAAAAAGATATATATTCAATTTTTACAGTGTTTCTGTGTTTAGCCACTGCAAACAGCGTTGCCGACCCGATCATCTACGTGCTGGTCAGTGAAAACGTCAGAAAAGACTTTTACAGGAGTCTGAGAAGATGGAGATTTAACTCATCCAGGCTGAATTCATCCATTAATCACAAGACAGACAGCATAAAATTGAAAATGTCAAAAGAATCACAGGAAGGAGGGCTAAGAGAAGAAAACAAAGAAATATCAGATTCATCTGACATTCAAAAGATCTGTAATAGTGGCAAAGACCAAGAAGGTGGCAGCTAGCAGTTAGCTGCTGACACAAATAAGACGTTCCCAACACCAGCTGTGGGCTGCAGACTGTGGCACACAAGTATTTACATGCTGACGTCCATAGGAAGTTTTGCCACAGTGCACGGGCCAGCAACTCCTTGAGGATGCTGCAGGAGCGATACTTCTTATTTCTGTTTGTCTCCTACAATAAAGTTTGCTCACCAGTATCATTGATGAAAATATTGCTTTGCTATGGACACGTGGAATAAACTAAGTAATTTACTTTGACTCAAATTGAAATCTTAAAAGCTTATTTTTTGGACTGGCTCTTTTCCTCATACGAATTAAGAACCAGTTTTATCTTCTGAGATGGACAAAAAAAATTCCCTGCTGAGGAGAACAATGTAGGGCCCGTTCTTACGGTTGAAATTTTTAGTTCTTGAGGAGGTAGATGTTCAGATTCTCATACACGTACTCTATTGCTAACGTTTGTGGTTAACCAGTGGAAAATATTAAAAATGAGGAAGTCTTTCAACAAGAGCCTTGAAAATGTTCCTAATACTTCAGTACGCAGCTTTATCTACCTTGCACATTCTGGGGAGAATTAAAGGGCAAAACAGTGGCCTGTTAACACAGACCAACGGTACTTCTACTGTATTAGTCAAGATCCTGCACTATCCAGAAATTCTTAAAATGTACAATTCTAATGCTTGATATTTTACAATTAGTAGATTTTCCTTATTTTGCAGTTAAATCTGGAATGCACTTAAGTATACAGAAAATTTATACATTTCCGAGTGGTATCATGGACTGTTTTTATGCCATCTCCGAATGTTTTTTGAACTTGTGGTTCATTTCTGACTAAGCTAACACTTCCCTTTCGGTATTGATCCAATTTTTACTGTGTAGGACTCTATACAAGTGTTAAGTGCCTTACCGAGAAGGAAGGGATGGCAGCATGGAGAACACAGTCCCTTCTCCCCATAGATGGGAACTCCCTCAGACATGCTGGTGGTGCACACATGAGACTCTGCTGGGGCAGATTTCATTGTTGCTGCTGCCACTTTCGCTATGAATAAATTACTGATGGTAGTTTCCTGTGCCTTCAAACCAGAAATTAAAACATAAGAATGAGACAAATCTGGCAAGATTTATCTAAACAGCTGCTTCATATTTTTATGTGACCAAAGTAAAACAGACAAAGATCATGAATCAGTTGGATGTTTATTTGGGTACAAGTTTGTAAAGTGTTTCACAGCGTCATTCTGCTTCATCTGTAATGTTGTATTTCTGTAATATTTTTAAATTGTCATTAGTGTTGACATTTCTGAATTGAACTAACATTAGCCAATGTTAATGTAAATACAATACTTGTTAATGTTTTAAAATTGTCATAGGTATTTCTGTATATTATGCTTTATTCTTATACACTTTTGCAAAGAAGCATTGTGCCAAAATGGCATTTTCTAAAGTTAGTGTATTTATGACATATTTAATTTTTATATTTTGTAATGACTCCTCTGGTATCTACCTATGACAGGCTTGTGTCCTCAAGAGTAGTTCACATAATACTAAATTGAATAGGAGATTGTTTCTTGGAAAAATGTGAAATTCTGTTGTGATGCTAATTAACAAACTGTGGTTTTGTATTTTCATATGAATCCCAGAGATCAAACTCTGTAAGGTATCAAGGAGAGATCTGCAAAGTGCTGAATATCTGCAACTTTGCTGAAAATCAAACTTTCCATTACTAAAAAAATCAGCAGCAAGGCATTGCTCGTAACAGCCCAGTCAGCCACAGCATTGGTGATTAATCTCTGAAGACACATATGCAAACTGCCCCAACCTCAGGATTTTCATAGTCTAAATGTAAAACTCAGATGAATAATAGCAGTGAATTTAGAAGAAGCCAAAGACACAGACTTCTCAACTGATTGAAATGGATGCAAATTAGATATTCACCTCAATGAATTTTGAAATCTCTCTGATGTTCTTCCTCTGATAAAACGTGTCTTTAGAGCAACCAATATTGGAGCCCAGTGCTGTAGGTGCAAGGGACAGGGATTAGCAGGGTCTGATGCAACATCTGTAATTCTTTTGCCTTGCCTAATTTACATGCTGTTCTAAATTACTACATCATTATAATCTTCTTTTAATGAAAAACCTTGGAGCTTCTTTGTTCAGATGCCCTCTGAAATAAAAGCTGTAGGGGTGACAAGGCCCTGTACATCCTCATCCAACTTTGAAGATGACCTAGATGATCTCCAGAGGTGCTTTCCAAAATAAAATATTCCGTGACAGGGATTAGGGGTACCAAGCAATGTATCCACATGGGAAAACAACAAATCCTGTCTCCTTTGGATAAATGGAAAAGCAGCTGTACATCTGAGTAAGGACATCAAGAAATGCTATTTACATGTTGTTAAAACTATCCATCAGATAAGCTGACTGTTTCTCATGTGATAAATTGAAGCACGCAATCCGTTTTGCCACACAGTATCTGACTGTGCCATACAGGCAAAGGAATGGTCTCAGCAGTGGGACATTTGCTAGAGACACAGCAAAGGACACTACTCAGGTCAGAGCAGATATGAAGGATGGATTGACTCTGTGGATCTTTCCATCCTTTCCTCCTGCAGGGACAGTACCAGTGAGCCTGCAGGGACTGCTTCGTGCTGTGAAGAAAGGTTCACCTACTACATCAGATCTGCAGTTCTCAACCCAGCTACTTGGATCTGTCCCCCGACTTCCTCAACTCAGCTTAAGCTATAAGATGACTCAGAGAGAGCACAGAACCAAACCTAGGCCATGCTTCCCAATTTGATCTTTAGACGGCCGGGTCTCCACATGTATGGCTCAGAGCAGGTAAGTTGCTCACCAGTGTAACGGGGGTGAGATTAAAAAATTTCACTCTCTCTTGTATTCTGCATTTACTCAGGTATAACTTCCATAATTTGATTTAAAGAAGAGTGGGCTACTGAATAAATAAAACACGATTTTATTTTTACACGTGTCTCAGACATTTATAATATACCTGGGAGATAAGTGGATTGCTGATTATTTTAAGAATGACTGTGAAGCATGAAGTGAGTAATTTCTGGCTATGAACTAGAGCTGGCCAAACTAGTTTTTGCAGACAATATATCTGATTTGTTTGTTTATTCATCAATTTTAAGTTATTTCTGAAGACTGCATTTTTTAAGTAATTGTTTGGAGTAACTCACTTATAAAACTCTATTCCTGTCTAAGAAATGCTTTCATGCTAAATTTTGCTTCAAGAGGATAGTTATACAAAACAGGCAAAACCAGACACAAATGAACTCAGACTCTCTATGCATCACAAAGTTTCATCTGCAGTTGGTGACCCTGTAGGTGGTCTGATTTAGTCCCTCCTATCATGTACAAGCCAACGTCGAATTTCTGTTGGGTAGCGAGTGATGAAACCTAACTCAGAACCAGGCTTTCAAAAACATCCACAATCTATAGTTTTTCTTCATGACCATATTGTCATCCTACAGGTCACACTGTGGGATAGGTCTTTTAGAAAACATCCTATATATAGTGAAATGATGCCAAAGTTGCCTCACAGGTTGGAATACCTGTCTTATTTTCAAACCAGCACAAACTAAAGGTAGCAAATAAGGGTGGGGGGATTGCATCAGAGAGATGCAATCATTTTTTTAACCTCTTTGGTGTGCAAGGAAGCACAGGTGTCAGCATCCCCAAAGCTGGATCTCCCAGCATGTCTTCTGCAACTAGTGTCTAGAGACAAGGATGTGATACCTACCAGTCCTCTCCATCTATTCTAGTGCCTCCTGGGGTAGTTTGCATCCCGCTGCACTCCCTCTTTCCTCTGCACAATTAACCTTGGCACAGGAGAGGGCGCTTCTTTTACTCTCTTTGCACCAGGGATGCAGCATGGCCTCATGGTGCAATCTTCAAGTGAAAGGAATGTGAACCATAAAAAGAGAAATCTGTTATCCCAAATTAGACTAATACTAATATCCTGCTAATAGATGTTAGTTGCTGCCATCATGAACTATTGGTAAGAAAGAGTAGGACTCTAAACTCATTATGTCTCATCACTGTAATTCAGATCATGGATAACTTCTAGGGTTTTACTCCCTTACTCCATCCTGTAAGAAATGCTCAGAGACAACGAAGCAAAAACCAGCCTTGGTAGACAGATGGAAAGTCTGCTGAGAAGAGATGATAAGCTATGTGGTTAAGAATTTCACAAAACATCACATGAATATCATCTACACGAGCAACCCCAAAATAAGCCTTCTCAGTACACCATGAAATGATCCATCCTATTTGGCAGCCTCAGTCTGTGACAGGGCCCATACATTTCAGCCCATGATCACAGAGCACCCCCTGTATGTTCAAAGGTCTGTCCTGAAATATTTTCTTGACGGAGGCGAAGAATCAAAGAGAAGAGAGATACTATGGGAAAAGGGCGTTGGTTCCCCTGGTTTCAGCTGGGATAGAGTTAATTTTCCTCCTAGTAGCTGGTACAGTGCCGTGTTTTGGATTTAGGATGAGAATAATGTTGATAACACACTGATGTTTTAGTTGTTGCTAAGTGGTGCTTACACTAGTCGAGGACTTTTCAGCTTCTCATGCCCTGCCAGCGAGAAGCTGGGAGGGGGCACAGCCAGGGCAGGTGACCCAAACTGGCCGAAGGGATATTCTATACCATGGGACGTCATGCTCAGTACATAAACTGGGGGGAGTTGGCCGGGGGGCGGTGACCACTGCTCGGGGACTGGCTGGGCATCGGTCAGCGGGTGGTGAGCAATTGCATTGTGCATCACTTATTTTGTATATTCTTTTATCATCATCATCATCATCATTATTATTATTATTATTATTATTATTTTCCCTTCCTTTTCTGTCCTATTAAACTGTCTTCATCTCAACCTACGAATTCTACTGTTTGGTTTTTTTCTCAATTCTCTCCCCCATCCCACTGAGGGCAGAGGAGTGAGAGAACGGCCGTGTGGTGTTTAGCTGCCTGCCGGGTTAAACCA